GGGTAGACGACTAATTTTTATTTTAATGTCCGTCTGGTAGATTATTTAAAAACATTAGACACGTATTTTTTATTTTCTTACGGAAACGAATAGTTTCGAAGATATATTGATTTGAAATGTCGCGTGACGTCACTTCTCAGTACATTTTATACTAAGAAATGACGTTTTAGCCCCCACTCCTAAACTTTGATTCGTTTTATCTAAGTATTGTTTTATTATACAACAAAATAAAAAAATACGTGTCTAATATTTTTTTATTACCTAAGTTACGGACTAATTATATTTTTAATTTTCATACCCTGTCATCATCCCCATTAATTTATTAATTTACATCACATAGCAGAACACGTTACAGATCACAGGTACATAGGTACTTTGTATTTTATAAATTCGCTGTATCCAATCTCGCGATATTCGCATTTCCTAGTCAGGGACTATTCGAATGGATGTCGTGTCATCCGTCAGCTAAATGGTCTTAAACTCTCACAGTACTCTCGGTAACTGTTAAAGTGTCTTCGATAAACGTTTTTTTCCTTTTATAATGAGCGCGACTTTCCAGACGACAGCCACAGGCTGTGGTCGGCGGCGGCGCTGAACAAGCAGAGCGTGGCGGGCAGCATGGCGGGCAGCCTGGCGCACAGCGTGCAGACCATCTCGCTGGACTCCGCCATCGCCAACATCATCGCCGCGCCCGCCGCCAGCCAGGTACTGCCCGCATGTTACTTGCGCACTGTGGCTAGTGCATGTATCTGCGGAGGTTTAAGGCGCCCACATCTCATGCATGAGGGTGCGATTTGGAAACCTAGCAACGTCAACTACCAATGTGTGTTCCGAGCTACTGTATACTTTCTAAGATTAACTAGGCACCACTGACGAACGGTGAAGGAAAACATCGTGAGGATAATCTTTTTTTTTATAGTTTCTAATTATAAGTTAGTGGTTAATATTTATGTATGCCTGGACTACCCTATTAAATTAACCATCGTTCCATACACCCAAAGGTTGCCTGGTAGATATCGCTTTTAGCGATAAGGCCGCCCTTGTACCCTCCTTATTCTTTATAATATCCGAATATGTGTAATTACTTACTTGTAAGAGTAAGCGTGGTGATTAATACTCAAATCTTCTCCGTGTGAGAAGAGGCTTTGCTTAGCAGTATATAGACTGTTGGTGATTAATGATTATGATGATGATATACGGTGAAGGAAAAAGGGAAACATCGTAAGGAAACCTGAGCTTATAGTGTCTCATTATAAGTTTGAAATCACCAATCTAACTTAAGCAAGCATTGATTAATACTCAAACATTATCCTTGTGAGAAAAAGCCTTTGCACAGCAGGCTTATAGGCTGTTGATGAGATGTGATCAACAGGTCGCCGATTGTTTTACAGGTGATCTCGAGTGGTATATCCAACACGATTCAGACGCCGACGTCTACGCCAATGGCTTCGACACCGCTAGGTAACCCCGTGCTTAAGAGCTTCACCTTCGTCAAACGGAGTCTTGGGGACAATTCGCCTTGTAAGTATTATTATTTTTAGAACGATTTAGTTCTGCTTGATCCGTTTATCTTTACTAATTGTATTTTTACCCTCTGGCTGACGACAGACAGACATCTATCTGATATTTGGTACACACTCTTATTATACAGTATTGTACATACAATATTGTAATCAATTTAACCAACATTTGACTAGTTTCCTAGGTTTAAAATAAATTGATTCAACTTTTCAATGTAATAAATAATTAAAAAATAATCATACTCTCATCCATCGATTTGCCTACACAATTTACCTACTTTTGGATTTTTTCTCTCTAATTTTAAGGAAATAAGTATGCTATTTGACGGAGAAATATGATGACGTCATAAGTTGCGTTACAAAATTCGTTCGTTCGTTTTTGACATTTCAATAAAAGTGTTGAATTTGACTATCTGTCAGCTACCGTAACACTATATACATTACTGAATAAAAAGCTAATGAACCATTTACACGTGCAACAAAGTATAGTTTATTCTTATAACAAGCGGCTTTTGTTTCTTTCTTCCATGTCAAAATTATTATTGCTTTACATTTCTTTCATGTTTGACATGCTCTTTGTAATGGGATACGTGTCTTAAATGACAATGACCAAATTTGTATGGAGCGTGGTGCCTTTTTGTTTTTTTGCGGCAGTTGATCGGATGTGGAAAAACTGATGCAGAATAACATTACAAACAAAAAAATATATGGGGTCTTATATAAAAAACACAGTCCGAACCGAGTTAAATCAGTTCAAAGATGTGAATATAGTACTATATAATGTTCATGGTGACCGTCCACAACGTATATTTTTCTTCATTTACTTGTCAGAAATATTTTGAAATAAATGTTTATAAACGATTTCAAGGAATTTATTAAAGCTTGTTGTGGACTTTTTCCTTATTTTCCTTTTTTTTTTTAATCAGAACCATTGATTCAGACATCAGAGTGAACCATTTATTGGTCACTGCTGAAGTTAATATAAAAAGATTTCGCTTAATTGGCTAGCGTGTTCACTTTATATGTTATGGTTTATGACCTACGGCAGATTTTCATGATCAATTTCCTCTCAGTCGAAAATCCGCAAAATACTTTACTGAGCCCTATCATGAAATGCTATGTATGTCAGCTGTGGCATCGGTAGCGGATTGAGTAGCGGCAGTCGTCAAAACACGAAAAAAACATTTTTCTGTCGACTTACTCCCGATTAGTAACTAATCCAACTACAGGGTATTCCCTGTAGTAAAGTACTAATCTGCATTCAGTCGCAAAGTGATGGAATATGTATATTCCGACTGATCACATTATATGAAAAAATTATGCGCTCATCTGACGTATAGTCCATCAATTTACAAAGTCCACGGTTTTCTTTTTTCAAAAGATTATGCTAAATATAAAGTAGATGAGTCTCCCACCAGGAGTCAAAGGCAAAAAAAACTTTTAGATTTTTGGACGGCTACCACTACTCAACCCACCACTGGTACCACAACTGGCACTCATGAAGCTTCATGACACAACTCTTAGAAGCATGTCACAAGTTATCGACTGAGAGAAAATAGCTAATAAAAATTAGTGCCTGGGAATATGTATATATTGTGGTGTGATATGGTATGCCTGTGCCAGGTGTACAGTGGCGCGTAATTTGAAGTTAGGAATTGTGACAAAAATATGAATAATTTGAATAAAAAAACCAATGTTAAATGTTTGACTCCAGCTCCTTTCAACCCTCATAACTCAGTCCAGACTGAGATTTCTATATATGAGCCCATAGACAATTTCGTTTGTAATGTCATTCTAGATAATATTTTCCATAAATCATCGACTGCCGCCAGAAAAAAGAAAGGCACCAATTTTAGTCAATGCCCTTTGTTCATTATCTAATGTGGGACTAATAGATTATCTTTATTCTCTGTCGTCAACCCTATTTATTCGCTACTTTGCAAAGTGTCAGTATCCCGAACGATGTATTTATTTTACTGCTCCGCCAATTATTATGTGCATTTGTGCCACTTTATTTGAAATTTCTTACATATAGGTACATATAATATCTTATATGGTATATTGATATAATGAACATTAGTTATTTCTCCAGGTCCTGGTCCCCTGACGCTCTCCCTGGATGCGTCAGGCAATCTGCTCCTGAAGCCGAGCCAGTCTACCGACAGTCCTGCCTCCGACCAGTCCATGCACTGCGTCCATCTGCAGCGGTTGTATGTACCAACATTCAATACTGGTGAGTTATCGTTTTTATAACAAAACTAATGTACCTATTTAAATAATAGCTACGGCTCCTTTTGCCCTAGTAATAGCAAGTTTAATAAGGAATTGAAAATGGTATACAACGTTCTGCATAGTTTTTTAGATATTTCGATACAAAATGTTTTTTTCTGCGACACTCCGTTTCGAATAATTCGTTTGGACTACAATTTATTCTAGTATAACATAAAAACCTCGTATCCACTAGACAACACTTCGCATGTGACATGCCATTATCATGTTGAAAATCAGTAAGAATCTCTTGTCAAGCAATATTGTCGACATCCGACTGCAATATTGTCGCTAGAGAAACAAGTGTTGCGCACGTCTTACGTCTATGTTCATAGTCTAGTCATTAAGACCTAATGTTACGTTATGCTAATTGAATTTATACCAAAATGAATTAGCCTTCAAGATAATTATGATTACATACATACATACACGTTGTATGCTAAAACTAAATATCCCATAATATTTTTACGGCAAAACAAATTATCTAAATATTATACCGAAATGCCCAAGCGTGTTAAGAAAAAGAGGTCTCAAGAAAACTCAACGCGCCTCGTCTCCATGAGTGAGGCCTTATTGTTTAATGCTTAGTTTGCTAACTATGTATCATGTACAGAAGTGGAGCCCCCGAAGAGTGGCAGCCAGGGCTTGCTGAGCGTGCAGCCCGCCCCGTCCGTCATCGTCTCGCAGACCAACACTGGCGCCGCGCCCAAACTGAACGCGTGAGTACCGCCTGTGTTTACATCACTGTTATACTTCAATTCTATATACAGTCCGGTTAAATTAAATAATTTAAATAATAAAAAATTAGGGCTCCGGGAATTGCACCCGAGACCCCTTGTCGACAGTCGCACTTGCGATTATTTAATTTACTTTTGTAATAAATAGAAGACTCGAACTCATGACTCTTCCGACCAATATGTTATGATGCATTGTAATTTATGATGTGGAATATTCTCAGGCAATGGGAAACACCAGTGGAAGAGACGCGGCCATTCCCTCTCGCACCCACGCCGGCACAGCTCGGCAGGGCACCGCTACAGAAGCGACTTAGTCGAGGTAACATAAGTCAATTATTCTATGACACATTTTTTCAGACAACCGAGAATAATAGAAAAAAGACGAGCAGAATTTTGAAATAACATACAAAATCAGGACAAATGAACTAATAACTAAAGAACAAAATTGAAATAAAATAATTATAATAATTTAAAATAAAAATGTATAATAACGTAATAGTGTAATGTCGCTAGGGACGTCGACGGGGTCGTGCGGCAGCGGCGCGGCGGGCGCGGACTGCGCGGACGCGCGCCCCGACTGCGACGGGCCCAGCGGGGCCAGCTCGCCCAAGCACGACCTGCCCAGCCCCAACCAGAAGAAGAGTCTCTTCAAGAAACGCAACGAGGATGGCCGAGACAAGTAAGACTTTTTTTTATCGAATAAGCCGGTAAACGCGCAGACGGATCACTTGATGATAAGCAGTCATCAACGTCCATGGACACCCGAAACACCAGAGGAGTTAGAAGTGCGTTACCGGCCTTTTGGGAATTACGAATTTAAGGATTGTTGGAGATTCGGCGATTGGGGAGAAGGTTACTTGGGCCTCCGGTAACCTCATCCACACGATGAAGCACAACGCAAGTGTGGTTTCACCAACACTTCGGTTCGGTTGGTTTTCTGTGGGGACATGGACTATTATATTATATCTTTTGATTATGGAATCATTTATTATACTAACCCGTGGTGGGCTCCGACATACCACGCAAATATACGCGAGACAATGTTTTTTCTATTGTGTCTTTAATTTATCAATTAAGGTAAATGACTAATTTTTTTTTAATGTATGTCTGTTACTATAACTATTTAAAAACATTACACACGTATTTTTTATTTGCTTGCGGAAACGAATAGTTTCGAAGATATATTGATTTGAAATATCGCGTGACATCACTTTTGTGTACGTTTTATACTCAAAAATGACTTGGCTAGCTCCCACTCCTTAACTCGTCGAGTACCGTCATTATAGAACAATAGGTTGCGGCCACCGGTGACCGCTTGGTTTTTAACAGTTTAATTTGATTCGTTTTATCTAAGTATTAGGTAAGTGTGTATTATGTAGAAGTGCTTACTTATATGCTTTTTTATATGAGAAAAATGACAAAAAAAATACTTGTCTAATATTTTTTCATCACCTAACTGATGGACTAAATATATTTTTAATTTTCGTACCCCGTCATCATCCCTATTGTTTAGCAATAGTACCTATATTTGTTTGTTTATACGTTTGAACCCGTTAGATAATGTACTGGTTCAAATTGTATAAATTATTCTTGTTGAGTCCATTTATCGAAGTAGGCTATTTTAGGGCAGGCTTTAACATATCACGCTGCGATCAATAAGAGCAGCCTATCAAGCAGAAACTGCACATAAGCATCAAGGTAACTCTATGTTGTACTGCAGGGTACTGGAGACGGTGAACTTCGAGCAGAAGTTCAGTACACTGCCCCAGTTCAAGCCGGAGGCCTGCAGCCCCAGCGCCATGGTGGTGCCGCGGAGTCCACAGCTCTACATAAGGAAGAAACACAACAAAATGGGTGAGTTTGTCTCATTTGAAATATTTCGTTGTACACGCCAGCAATTACTTTTAGGAATCCATACTTGTTTGTCCACCAGGAATGCTGTAGGATTGTAAACAGGCGAATGTTAATATTGCCAAATTATTCATTTTTTTTGTGTCTAATATCTGTATATAACTTAAAATTGAGTAGCCTTTCAGTATTTAAGCGTCAATTCGTTAAAATATGTCATCTTTATTTTGTTTGATACTTATATGTATGATACTGCCCACAGAGGAAGAAGGCACGGCGGTAACCCCGCAGCTGGAGGCGGAGGTGGTCAACGGGAACGGAATGCCCACTCCGCACTCATACGGCACGCCGCATACCACCACCAACAAACTCGTCGGGAACACATTCTTCGGACCTGACTTCAATCTCGACACTTATCGAGGTATCATGTTACTTCACACTACTTTTTTTTTAAAGCGGGGAAATTATCGAATGACTTCTCCCGTCTGGGTGAGGCCGGAGGGAGTGTCAGACTCTTACTGACTAAAAACCACCCCGTTCCTACTCCTGCACTTCGAGCCGGAGCCCCGGTAACCTTTTACGTTCTCCGCGGCTGCACATATCTTCACACGGTATCTTCACACTTCATAGTTCACACTACTTGGATTTTTGAAATTTCTTTTTTTTACTGTAACCTTTTTTATTGTTTATCTCCGAGGGGGTAAGGAACTGGAAATACTTATCTGGATAAAGTTTTCTGATTGGGATATGTCAGCAAACGAGCAGATGGATCATATATAAGCAATCGGCGCATACACAAAGTACCTGTTAATAGGCGTGTCGACAGGGTAAAAAAAACAAAAAAGTAATTAGTCCGTCATTAAGATCGTACGAAAATATCAGACACGTATTTTTTGTTTTATCAAATTAACAGAAGAATACATAGTTATTCCGTATTAAAGTTAGGGAGTGGGGGGTGTTGACGTCACACTTACGGAGAAATCGTACCTAATTGTGACGTCACGCGTCATTTTAACTCAAAATATCTACATGTTTTTTTGGATACGAGAAAAAAGAAAAAATACGTATCGAAGATTTTTAAAATATCTAAAAGACGGACAAAAAATTAAAAAATAGTCGCCATGCCTATTGTTTACTTTAATTGGAGTGAAATTCATATGCCACAGTCGTGGTAGCGTGCATGTCGGTGAGAGTGTAAGTTGCGCGGTTGCAGTGGGCGGCGAGGGCGCGGAGGAGATGTCGCCGCGCACGCCGTGCAGCGCGGGCGGCGCGGGCGGCGCGGGCGGCGCGCGCGGCGAGGCGGGCCACCGCCGCGTGCTGGAGGCGCGCCGCCACCTCGTGCTCAAGCTGTTCCAGGAGCACGGCATGTTCCCCACCACGCAGGCCACCACGCACTTCCAGGTCACTGTCTACCCGCGAACACAACCCTTGTTATGTAACGGTTTAATTTGCTTGCCCTGTTTGTTTGCTTCCTGGCGAGAAATCGATGTCATATTTGGTACACACTCTTAATTTTGATGACCAAACAATATAATTTAATATTTTCCACAATTACCTCCATTATGGATATAAAACGAAATGGTTTGATTAGTACAATAGACATCATTAAAACTGTTTAAACTGTCAAACACCAAGCGGTCACCGGTGACCGCAATCTATTGTTCTATAATTGTGTCTACAAAACCGATACTCGACGAGTTAATATACAAATCGGATTTTTATCTACTGCCTACAAGTACAATATGACTAAACTGGACCAGACACGGACATATTTTGGACTTTATTGCAACCAATGATTCTAAAGTTCTTAACGTTCAAAAGTGCCTTCCTGGTCTAATTGAAATAAACAATTTTGACTTTGACTTTGAATAAAAGAATTTGTACAGTCAATTATAATGTTGTTTTCTTACTCAGGCTACGCACATGGACATTTTCCCAACAAAAATGGCACTACAATTGAAGATTCGGGAAGTGAGACAGAAACTGATGGCGCAGTCGAACCTTACTCCTCACTCGGAAGTAAATACCCCAACTAGTAAGTATTATTAGAATAAAAACAAGTAGTTTCTTCTAAGTATTAGTAGAACATCGAACTGTACAAAAAAATCTCCAATCTATATACAGGTGTCACTGAAGTCGACGCTCGAATGTCATCAATTGATCTGCAAAGTTTCAATTTATTGATAGACAATTGTGAAGTTTTATGTATTTTAGAATTATGTATTATGCACAAAAAAGTACAGTCTGTGACAATATTTTAACTCATTTATGGAGCATTGTGCCATAGCATATCCGATATTCAATAATTGTTTTGAAACCTTCAACCAACCAACCACCAACCAAATAATAAAAAAGTATTTGGTTTATCATGGTCCGATCGAACACTCAATTTATATTGGTTTTCAGAACAACATTACATCGCGGTAATGATACCGCGATGTATTGTAATTGTAATCTAAGATAATCTGATGATCTTAGAAAATCTTGTAGGTTTGGGGAGTGTGCTTGCTTAATTCTCGCAAATATAATTCCTTACCTGTATTCTTCATCTCTTTCGCTTGTAACAGACATATTAACATAAGAATAAGTCAGGTAGTCAAGCGCCCTGCCATACAAAATTATATTATCCTGCAGGCTGCTGACCCGTTTGGTTATGGTTAAGGTACAAAAATGTTGTTCATAAATGAGTTTTATTGACGCTAGGTTCTTTGTTATCCTAAAGTTTCAATATTATAATTCACACACATATCTTGTTGTGATTAGTTTACTAATTGCAAACCATAGACAACATTTTGTTATGTGACGTTTATTAATAACTGTCAGTGTCACTCCCTTCACTTGTATTATCTATGATTTTTTTCTTGTACGTCCGCCATGTTTCAGAAATATAGTCTTGTCGCTCAATCATGCACTTTTATTTAAATAAAGTTTAGTTCAGGAATTACCTTTAATCGTTCTATTGAACACTATATCTACTACGTACGTACTTACTTGCTTACGTACATATGTACATACATTGTATGTTAAATAAAAACTTGTAAAACGATTGAAAAAGATTTGCCGAATTTTTACCGTTAATTTTTAGGATTCCCGTATATTCTAAATATTAAGAAGTATTATTGATCGCCATCTTAAATATCTCATCCAACACATTATTTAAAAAATATATACATTTTTATTTCAGTAAACTCTCCGATCGCGTCAGCGCCTTTTCAACCGACTTCTACGGCCAGTTAGCGATGCGGATACACCATCTCCATCATTGTGCGCCAGTAGTAGCATCGCCCGACATATACGAGATATCTGCCAACACCCCAAGCAGGGTTTGTTCTCACGATGGACTCATGCCACGAAACTTGATCATGAATGCAAAAGCATTTACTACAGTGATTAGATTAATGTATAGAGAGACTCGTTTATAGTATTTTATTATTATCTAGAAACTAGAAATACTTTTTTAATTAATAAAAAGATAAAAAAAAATCCCAAAAAGTTGATAATATTTTAACCCAGTTTCTCAAAGGTTTGTCAAATTAATAATCAACTAACACTTGTCAGTTGTCATGGTGGTCAAATCCAACGACTTATAATAAACAATATATTCCATCTAAGAAGGCGTATGGAATCTAGAAGGTGACACTCGCCACTCATCCAACGAAGCAATCAGTCGTTAATATTATATAACACCTATTTTAATGCTTAATATAAAAAATCAAATAGCTCATTGTAAACACTTTACAATAAAGGTGTTGAATTTTATCATTGAAATAATTCAATGGATATTTTTACATAATTTTGTCTTGTCAAACCTTTCAGAAACCGGGTGTGAGTCTATGAGAATTGGCGATGCATGGTCAAATTAATTCGGTAATTTAAAATTATATGTTTAAAGTAGTTTTATCTAAATAATAAATGGTACTAATGGTTTGTTCCCTTTTCCATAGTATATTGATGTTAAATTGTTAAACAATGTAAGATCCATGCGGTCGCAGCTAACTAGACTCACGCACCCGGCTGCCCAGTGCCACATCTAAATGAATGTGAAGAGGCAGTCAGACAGTATGAGATAGATATCCATAATTATGCAGAAATTACAAGTAGGTAATAAAGAAAAGCAAAAACAGGCTTCTTTCTTCTGAGGATCCTTTGACGTCAAATTGTTATGAAACACGTTATTGTAGTTAAAGTTTTTAGCAATATGGCATTAAAGTGACCTCAGACTTATAGGGACATATCTATATTTGCTTTTAATTGGTTATTGAACTAACAGATCATTTGTTATATCGTTTTAGCCATTGTCATTATGGGCACGATCTCAATTCTTATTTTGTATTTAAATCTTTTGTTGGTGAGTGTTGTAAGACTTAAATATTATATGTTATTGCAAAACTACTTCATTATTTCGTTGCGGTTTTACACCGAAACTCTTTGGCGTTTAAGTATGTAATATTAAGGTCTAAACTTGTCCTACCATTGAATTTATTTAGTCTTTTTTTAGATGCTCAGTAGGTTTTATCATCTCGGTATGGAGCCTTTTTATATAACAATATATTACACGTAATTACTTACAAATAACTATATGCCGTAATAACTTTTTATAGAATTGATCAAGTTGAATTTCGTTGCAATATGAGAATCGATATATTAGAAAGGATATTTAATATTTGAATATATTTTATAGAATTATGTATGTATGATATACTTAGTACATTTACTCCACATTAGAGGCCTTAGTGCAAGTTTGTTATATTTAAAGTAATCGAAACGAGGCCAGGTTCGGCGCTCTGATTGGTTGGTTCATTGGAGCCGGCCAATCAGAGCGCTAAACGCGGTACGGGTACTCGTACTAACGCCTCTGTACCTTTAGCAAGATATGTTTTGTTTTGCTACCTTCCCCTGAGACTAAGAATTACTAAGGGAAATTATTGAGTTGGTAATAATGGGGTATCTATTAGAAAATATTTGTACTGGTTTTAACAGTGTTAATTACTTGCAATCAGTCATTAATCACCATTTTGTTTATCAATGCATGTAGTGACTTAGACTATGTAAGTGATATGTCTTGCACCACAGAGTGAGAGTGTCGAGTATATGAATGAGTGACGTTTGAGAAAGGAACTTTGGTGCGAATACTTTCTAACAATTGTGCAAGTCTATTATTTTGTATTGTTTTATATTTACGTTGTGATGTTGGTCTTCCAATGGTTTCAAATTATTTCATTTTATTAGATTTATATCTACTTATTTAATTATGTTTTAATAAAGTAAGTACGTTGTACAGTGATTTAACAAGAGAGTCGGTAATGTTGTGTACGAGTGACACTGAACGTGAACATTTAATACTTACTTATATTGAGTCTTTCAGTCGGTAAGATTGAAGTAGCGGTATCCATTTTGAATACATAATGCTATCGTCTACAAAAATAGCTCAAATCTGTAACGACACTAGATAAATAAATATTTATACAATAATTATCTCATTGTAAATATTAGTCGTATTGTATACTAGCACTAGGTATTCCTGGCTCTCAAAGTAATTAAGGTTTTATTTAGATATTACTAATAATATGATATATAATTTATACATGTAAAATTTCGGCCAATACAAATTTTATGTATATCAAAATTGTATTTTTTAAATGATCTCTTCGGCGTTAATATTATTTAAATAATTGCTGTAGGAGTCCGGAAGTGAAAGGAATTTATTAAAAGTATATAAAACATAAGAGATATTTTCGCACGGTTAAATATTGTATCTCGATAGATAAGTAGACGGGTCCGGTACCAAAGCTCGTCAGTTTGTTGTAATGGAACTACTTAAAATGTAGCGTCATAGCGTTCCTTACAGTTCTCGTGTACTGCAAGCTGGCAATGTTAAACTTACGGGATTTGGTACGTACTTTCGATTCATCGTAATCGTGATTGTTGTCTTACATTTTAACTCTTATATAATACAAGTGTTGTTACCAGTTAGTAGTAATGTACACATATATTTTCGTCCCTAATTTGAATTAGTTATTCAAACTAGCCGCTCTGTGTGGTGCCACACGTACTTTTATGTTAGCGTTGAGGGAAGCAGGGTAATTAATTCAAAGTAAGGGCAAGCTATAGGCCTCTTTTCTTAATCAGTGAATTAATTAGGTATTTAACTTTCAACTCTGAATAACAATACAATAAGATCGGTTTCAACTTACATAAAATGTAAATGTAATAAAACACTGTCTTTAGTAATGAATGTTTAATATCTTTTTGTGGCATACGAATATCATCCCGATTGAATGAAAGTTGTTGATTTTATTTCGACCATCGAGCCTTTAGTTGTGTAACGATTACATGATTCGATTTATTTTAACAATATTAATTTTTAGATTTATAATATAATTTTAAATTTCTACAAGCACTATTTTTACATACAGGTGGGTCACTGAAGCCGACGTCCAAATGGCACTAGGCGGACGGCAAGGTTATAACAGTTATCAGAAAAATAATATAAAAAAATGAAGTCATAAGTCAATTTAAGTCTTTTTAGTGATTATAATAGGTCTAGGTTACGAGGATTTTAGTTACGCTTTGGAAATACTAGAATGAATTTAAGTCCAAATAACTTGCGATGATCTTACCGAAACGTAGTCTCTCACTGTGTACCTAAGCTCAAGGCTGCTCAGCGCGCTATGGAGCATCTTTATGAGATCGAATTAAAAGTAACGGATTAGCAAGTTGTAGTGGCAGTGGGCAGGGCAGGGCCGTCTTAGACTACGCTGAGGACCTTGAGGCACACAATTATATCGTAAAATCGTATCGTGAGCGCATTTAAAATATACAAGTTCACATACACGTTATACCTAGACCCGAAACAACTAATTGTAGATCACACAAAAATTTGCTCTGAGCGGGAATCGAACCCGCTACACGTTGAAGGGTAGCCGGTTTCCGCGCAACGTGTAGCGGGTGTGTGTCCATCTTAAATTGGCAGTCCTTCAGAGTCCCCTGAGGATGGGGGCCCTGGGCACGGGCCCCGAGTGCCGTTATAATAAATAGTACTGGGACAGGGGGCTTACTCTTGAATCCAATACCGATCGATCGACATTGGTATTGTGAAATTTCGTACTCTTGAATTGCGACATTAGCGCCCATTGCATCCGTATTGCGTGGATATTTAATAAACTAAATGGTATTGAGTTTGGCTTTATATTCCGTACTCTGAATGCTATTGTAACATCTACGATAAGGGTTGTCTAGTTTTGACATTGAATAATTACTGTGATTTTATTGGATTGAAATTGCATTGACATTGAGATTGGTTTCAAGAGTAAGCACCTAGGACACATAGCGCGGAGAACCGACAGCCGCTGGGGCAGAAAGGTTATCATCATTGGGGGAGGCCAATGTTCAATAGTGGATGTCTTGTGGCTGATATGACGATGATGAAGTCCAAATGAATAGCTCGAAACGGAGTTTTGATGATAAAAATGTTGGTTCCAAATTAAAGAAAGAATGTAGAAAGTAGTATACCATTTTAGAATACATACTAAATGCACTAACTTTGAAACGAGGCACTACTAGCGCTGTACGTTTACTTTTCAGTTATATCACATAAAGTAAGATGTAAAATTTATTAAGAATAATTGATTCGTCAAAAAATTCGTCCTTTCCAAACTAAAGCAGTTGGTTTACAATTTATCGTTCCATGTTACTGCAGCTACTATCCAGGGTAACGGAAGCAAAAATCCAGACGAAAATTGCAGTAACAAGAGTCAAAAGACCGGTATACTTTTTCGCGGCAACACATAAGTCACTGTAATTTGAAAACTATATGACTTAATCAATACATAGTATAAAACAAAGTCGCTTTCGCTGTATGTCCGTATGTATGCTTAGATCTTTAAAACTAGGCAACGGATTTTGATGCGGTTTTTTTTAATAGATAGAGTGATTCTTAAGGAAGGTTTGTATGTATAATACATGCATATTGCACCCGTGCGAAGCCGGGGCGGGTCGCTAGTTTTATATATATATGATAATGATAACTGTTGTAACCTTGCCGATCACCTGGTGCTAATTGGACGTCGACTTCAGGGACAACCTGGATGTTTTCATTAACTTTCATAGTCTTCTGTAATAACAATTTCAATGAAAATTATACGATTAAGTATACGTTTTTAAATAGATAGTAAAGTTACGTAAAATAAATTTGCATTTAGAATTCCAAATGAATTAATTTTATGAAAGGATGGTGAGCAAAAATGTACGGGCGGCGCACCCTCGTCCGCCGCAGTTCTTACTACTTTTGTTTGGAAAGTATCATAGCCATGTTTCATTATACCAAAGCGCGTATAGAGTACCCCGGCACAGATTTTTTTTATTTATTTATTTGTTTATTGATTAACACGGTATACACCAAGTACTTACAATAATCAAATTAAATTACAATAAATATAAAAAAAGAAAACTAAATCAAAGTAAGTACATAATATAAAAAAGGTGTTAAAAGTAAATGAGAAAGTATAGTAAAACTACAAAACATTAGATAACGTTGGACACACAAAATACACGAAACAAAATACAATACAACTTAGAATTAAGATGAAATAACAATGATAATAATAATATACGTACACAAAATCTGGAAACAGAGATAAAATAACATTTTTATATGTGGTTCAGCTCACAATACACCAGGCAACCAGACTTTACAGCCTTATACTTATCATTAAACACGTACATTTTATTTAAGACTCGTAAGGATTAAATGAGCGTTAGCACAATGAACCACGGCTGTGGTAGCTTCCAACCAGAAGTCATTTAATATGTGGCGGACGTGCATGCGCCGGCCATACGGAACTTACAGCTCAACCTAAAAAAACCTGATAAAATATAGAGAACCTTGGGGCAGAATTTAATGAGCTTTGACACAGTGAACCATGGCTGTGATACCTTTCAAACAGAAGTTTCGTCGCAGAGCTGGCTGTAACTTGCCCACTGTCCTTTATATGAAAACATCATGGTTATTTTATTTACACACACTTTGCTACATGTCCAATAGCTAAATATAATAAATAGCAAGTTTTCCTCCATGGCTTATGATGATAATTATGATTCTGATGGTTTATAAGAAATGTTACAATTTGTTTTCAAACTGTCCATAATTATGTTAAGTTTGCCTTTTGTTGCAATTCTTCAAGTTTTTTTCTAGTTTTGATGGTATAAGCAATTTCGAATGAAAACCTTTAATTGTGTTATAGTAATAACAAATATGAAACATTTTAGTAGCTGCATATTTCTAGTGCCTTATTGACTTTCAAACTTTAGTCCCTGCCTGATTGACTACTAGAAATAATGTTTCTAATTACTTCCTTCTAGGCTTTGTCAGTCAATAAATAACAGAAAATAAGCGGTTTTATTAGATTTTATTAGACTGAGTTGACTTGGTTGCATAACAAGTTTATTGTTATATTTTAAGAAATATTAATAATCATTTGGAAAGGACATTTTAAATAAAGCATTTCATATTCGTTATTTATTTCTTCTACATAAGCTATGGTAATAATTGTTTAGTCAAAATGTAAATAGCTTGTTTAGATGATTTTTTTAGATTTTAAATGTTCAAACTCATGTATATTAGACAAAAAAATAAAAAATTTAGTATCTAAATCCACCAGTACCATTTTACATTTACAATAAGCAGGTTTTTATGTTTTTATGAATCCAACTAAATAATGGACCAATAAACTGACACTTTAAAGGATCATTGTCACTTGAATATGAAATTTTAACCGTAGCCAAACATGGATATGGATAATTAGGTATCGGATGTCTAGGTCACGTGAATTACTTCTATTCTTAGGACAAAAATATGGGGCATGCCAGGAATATTTTCTGGAAGGGTTGAGAATTGGCATTTTGTAGATTTCCAACCGACTTCAAGAAAATGGAGGATGTTCTCAATTCGACTATATTTTTGTTTTGGTTTTACACTTGGACCGATTTCAAGCTTCAACATTTGGTCGAGTTGTCATCAGGTTAGAATCTGATGATGGGATGAATTGTTAAAAATTATTTTAAAAATTACAGGGACGACTAGTGCTTATGTTAGTTTTTTTTATTAAAACCACTACAATCTGATAAAGGTCTGCAGTCGAGGGAACTCCTCTAGGTTTTAGAGCTCTTACACACGAGCGGCATGTTCCCAACGGCAGATGTAACTGCAGCCGTCGACGTGCGTCGACGGCAACCGTCAACGTGTTGACGGCTTCCGTTGACGCGTCGACGGCAGCCGTCGACATTTCAATTTCGAAGATCAACGGCAGCCGTCGTCTGCTCTCTAGTATAGGAGTCAGTTGTAAAATGGATTCCGAAGAAGAAACACTGTTATTGCTTTTACTTCGTCGACGCCGACGGAAACGAAAAATAAAAACACGTTCATTGTGGGTTCAAGAAATATTAATGAATAGAGATCAAGACGGGCATTTTTTACTCTTACGGTATTCTGACCAATAAGTGGCGAATTTTCCATACTCCAATGAACTTATCTTTGCAGTTTTCTAAAGATGTTGTTAAAGCGTGTTGCATTTTGCACAATTTCGTACGTGACAGGGACGGTGTTAAATTTGAAGATACACTTACTGTCAATGGTTTGGAAAATGTATCTACGATTCCGGATGAAGATGAATTGTTATCGGGTTTAACAATAAGAAACGAATTCGCAAACTATTTTTGTAGTTCTGAAGGTAGTCTCTCATGGCAGTTAAACTGCATATGAAACAATAAAGTACCTACCTACTTATTTTTTGACCTATAAAAAATATATTATCGTTATTATAACGCATTAAAATGAATAATACACTTACCAATGGCGTTTTTTTCATTTATGGATTTATTATTAAAATCATTTACAACTTCTTCACAAACCGCCATCCATACTCTGTTTTTTATTGTTTTATTACTATAATCTTTCAATTTATAATTCCAAATACAAGCATTTTTCTTTACCGCCATAATTATCAATTCACTATCAATTTCGTCAGTAGAACTCATTTTACAAATTTGCGACGCGTGCGCACTCTTGAACTATTTGCAATCGACTGACAAAATGGCGGACGCGGCACACTACAACTGCAGCCGTCGACGCGCGTCGACTGCTGTTACCTCTGCCGTTGGGAACATGCCGCTCGTGTGTAAGAGCTCTTACACATGTGACCCCTTGTTTCGGCTAGAATTATTTCTTTTGATGAGAATTGCACACATCGTTGGAGTGTAATTGTCATTAGGGGTCTGATGACGACGTAATACGATAGTGTAGGGAACTCCTCAACGGTTAACAGTAGCTATCTGGTGTTTGGGTTTGATTAATTTGTACTGATGAGGACTTTACACCAAAGTGGGGTGTGATTGTCAATAAGGGTCTGATGATGAAGTGGTACGATAGTTGAGTGAACTCCTTAACGATTACAAGTAGACAATTTGTATTGATGAGGACTTTACACCTACATGGGGTATGTAATAAAATGCTATGCTGGTTTGCAATCAACAGAACTTTATTTTGAACATATATTGAATCATTCATCACTCAACCGTTCATTCAGTCTGTTCGGTCTAACATAAGTGATACCAGGTGGCGGTAGCAGTAACTATAATTGGATATTTTGTTATATCTATTTTACATCCTGACCTAACAAAATAATTAAAAATCCCAAAATAATAATATTAAGACAGTGAGTACAATTCGCAAGTTTACATGAACACCCAATTAAACTGAGAAATATATGTTCATCTTTACATTAATAAACTTTTAGTGAATATATCAGCTGGCATATTCTTAGTCACTAACACACACTAACGAAGTGGTGCCTTATGTCAATATGTTTGGTACGTTTATTGTGAAATAAGGGATTGCAAGCTAATCGAATAGAACTCTGGTTAATGCCATGAAAACATAATGGCATATTGTTAAATTGGAAAAACTCATTTTAAACATTCGACACTGGCAGTATAGTTGACAACATCAAAGTCAAAGCATTTATTTCAATTAAACCATAGTTTGGTACTTTTAAATCGTCAA